CTCATCATTGATGTTTCTATCTCTCACTCTCCCTCTCCTTTTCTCTCTCTGAAATCAATAAAGATATATTTAAAAAAAATAAATAAAACAAATAAATAAAAAACAATTGCCCACTGGATGCACTTAATAGTAGTGTGGAGATGACAGGACAGAGTCACTAAACTTGAAGAATTCAGCAGAATATACCCAATCTAAACAAAAAAAGAGAAAAAAGACTGAAAAAATATGAATTAAGTCTCAGGGATCGGTGGGAAAACAACAAAAGATCCAACATTCATATCACTGGAGTCACAAAAGGAAAGGAGAAAGTGTGGAGCAGAAAGAATATTTGAAGAAATAATGGCTGAAATCTTCTCAAATTTGGCAAAATACACACAACAGATTCAAGAAGCTGAGTGAGCCTTAACAGGATAAACTAAAAAAAAATCCACTCCAAGGTGCATCATAGTTGAAGTTCCAAAAACTAAAAGATAAATCTTGAAAGTAGCCATAGAGAAATAATGCATTACCTATAGAAAACCAATTAGACTGACAGAAGATTTTGCATGTGAAATCACAGAGCCAGAAAGAAGTGACATTTTTTTAAGTGCTGAAAGAAAAAACCATTAACCATGAATTCTATATCTGGTAAATGAAGGGGAAATAAGGACATTCTCAGACAAATGAAAACTAGAAGAACTTGCTAGTAGACATACCTTTAGGACTAGCTAAAGGGAATTCTTCAAGTAGAAAGGAAATAATAAGGAATCTTGGTGCATCAAGAAGGAAGAACAAACAATAGAAACAGCAAAAATTTTGTATATTTGACCCTTGAACAATGTGGGAGTTAGAGGCGCAGACCACTGGGCAGTTGAAAATCTGCACATAACTTTTTAACTCCCACAAAACTTAACTAATAGCCTACTACTGACTGGAAGTCTTATTAATAACATAGTCAATTAACGTATTTTGTTTGTATTATATACTATATCCTTATGATAAAGTAAGCTAGAAAAAAGAAAATATAATTACAATCATAAGGAAGAGAAAATACACTTATAGTACTGTTCATATTTATTGAAAAAATATGTAAATAAGTGGACCTACGCAGTTCAAACCTGTGTTGTTCAAGGGTCAACTGTATACTATAAATTATGCTTCTATTCTTAAGTTTTATAAGTTTACTTGATGATTGAAACAAAAGTTATAACACCATCTGATACTCAAGGCATTGATAATTAAAAGTCAAGAATATAAAGGGACCTAAATGGAAGTGAAATCACTTGAAGTGGTAAAATGTTGATACCAGTAGACTATGATCAGCCACACATGTATATTGTAATACCTAGAGCAACCATCATGAACACTACACGAATACACTCAAATGTACTAAGAATAAATCAAGACAGAATCCTAAAAAATTTTTTAAGCAATGCACAGGAAGGCAAAGAAAAAGAAACAGAGGAACAATACCAGAGGAAACAAACAGAAAACAAATAATAAAATGGCAGAGTTAAGCGCTAGCATATCAATAATTATCAAATGTAAATGGTCTAAATATACCAATAAGAAAAAAAGATTGGCAGAGTAGATAAAGAAACATGGCCCCAACTACATGCTGTTTACAAGAAACTCACTTCAAATTCAATGACATACATAGACCAAAAGTAAAAGGACTTATCCCAAGCAAACATTAATGTTTAAAAAAGTAAGAGTGGCATCAGTGCAAAGAAAATTACTAGAGACAAAATTACACAATGATAGAAAGATTAATCCTCTAAGTAGACATAAAGGTCCTAAATGTCTAAGTACCAAACAAGACCTTCCAAATACATCAAGAAAAGCTAATAGAGCTGCAAGGAGAAATAGACAAATACACAATTATAGCTGAGGACTTCACACCCTTTTCATCAACTAATAGAACTACTAGAAAGAAAACCAGGAAGAGTATAAAAAATCTGAATACAATCAACAGGATCTAACTGGTATATATAGATCACTCCATCTATTAAACAACAGAATATACATTTCATAAGCACATATAACATTCACCAAGATAGATCATATGGGCCTAAAACAAACCTCAAGAACCCTAAGAGTTGAAATCATAGTGTGTTCTCCAACTATAATAGAATGAAACTAGAAATCAAATGGATTTTTCTAAGCACATCAAAACTAAACAATAGAATTTAAGTACTCCATGGGTCAAGGGAAAGTCTCAAAGGAAATTAAAAAAAAATACACAAACCTGAATGAAAATGAAAACAACATACTAAAATATGTAGAATTAAGCTAAAGCAGTACAGAGAGGGACATTTATAGAAGTAAATACTTACACTGTAATAGAGAAAGGTCTCAATAATCTAAATCCTTCCCTCAAGGTATGAGGAAAAGAAGAGCAAAATAAACCCAAAGCAAGCAAAAGGAAAGAAATAATCATAAAATCAGAAATCAATGACATCGAAAATAGGAAAACAATAGAGAAAAATCAATGAAACAAAAACCTGGTTCTTTGGAAAATGTCAATGAAATTAATGCAATGCTAGCAAGACTGACAAAAATAAAGTATGAATCATCAATAGAAGGAATGAAATAAGGGTTATCACTATAAATCTGGCAGCCATTAAAATACTAACAAGGAAGTAATCGTGAATACATTTTACCCTTATAAGTTTGACAATTTAGCCCTGACTAGTGTGGCTCAGTTGGTTGGGCATCATCTCGTGCACCAAAAGGTTGCCTCTGGCAGGTTGATTCCCAGTCAGGGCACGTGCCTCGTTTTTGGGAGTGATCCCTGGTTAGGGGGTGTGCAAGAGACAGCAGATCAATGTTCTCTCACATCAGTGTTTCTCTCTTTCTCTCCTTCTCCTTTCTTCTCTAAATAAATAAATAAATGAATAAATAAATTTGACAATTCAGAAGAAATGGACCAATTCTTTAAAAACCACAAACCATTAAAAACTCAATCAAGTTGAAAAAGATCATCTGAATAGTCCATTATTTTAACAAAAAAAAATTCTCTAATGTCAGATGGTTTTAACTGAACAACTCTAGCAAACATTTAAAGAATTATCACCAATTCTATACAATACAATTCTATACGATT